AGAGAAGACTTGATCATTTTGAGCAATATATGGGACCTTCCAGCTCAAATAGAGGAGGGCAGGAGACCACACCAGGTGTTTGCACACTGTGAACAGGAGAGTAGTGAGAAATATGAAGTATTCCTGTAAAGCCTTTATGAGGATGTTTATGTTCCTGCAGTCTTGGGATTCAGCCTGTTCCATCATCAGACTTTGGGTCTGTCAAGGGAGGGTGTAGATCTCCCTCAAAATCTTTGTAATAGTAACAGCTAATATTTAGTAAGTCTCTAAGACTGTAAGTTGCAGATTAGCAGCAGGGGAAGAAATGTCCACACTGGAAGTTCCTAGGTTTACTGATGAAATCACAAGTTTGGAACCCTCCAACCCCCCCCCCCAATATAATATCATTTTAAGGTTTATAAAATGCTTTCTTCACAACAATCCTATGGGTAAGTGGTAGGTGTCCCTGGTTTACAGATGAGGGAACTAAGGGTCAGAGACATTAAGTGACTTGGCCAGCCTAGAAGAGTGTCAAAGCCAAGATGCAAACTTGTCTGCAGCCTCCAGATGCATTGCACTTTCACTGTGTTGTTTCTTTCATAAATTAGATAACATCTAGAACGGTTTAGGATTGACTGACCTGGAAAGAGAGGACTGGATTAGTGAAAAAGACAAGAGTAGAGCAGCTCTGGAACCCTTCTATAGTAGGAGGGGTGAGGAAGCCGGTCATGAATGCTTTTCCCAAGAATCCTCTATACCACTGGTTTCTCAAAGTAGCGCCCTAAAACTTAGAATCCTGGAACTTGTCATCATAAGATCAAATAAATTTAACTTTGGGAAGAACGTATGGGGTAGCTAGGCAGCACAATGGATGGAGCTCTGGCCCTGGAGTCAGGAGGACCTGAGTTAAGATTCATTCTCAGACACTTACTAGCTGTGTGACCCTGGGCAAGTCACTTAACTCCAACTGCCTCCAGAAAAAAGATAGAAAGACAGAACCTTCATGATGATCTAGCCCAACATTCTTTCTCATTTTACTTAAATAATAGTTTGTGAAATTAGCAAAAGAAGTAATCACCATTTAACTGTTAGCAATAAAATAAAAATATATGTAATTTTTTTTGCAAACCTAAAAACACTGTATAAAAATTATTATAATAACCAATAACTTCTTTCTTGAGATTAGGTTGCCCATGCTGGAAGTACAGAGGCCATTTGCTGACCCAATTCCACTAGATAAGTGTGGAAGCTTAGAGCTGCTCTGTTTCTATTCTGGGTCAGTTTGCTCCTCATTAGGCAGCCTCATGGTGCCCTGCTCCTGAGGCCTTTCCATATTGGTGTAGACCTTTGATCTACTTTAGTCAACTGTAGTTCAAAACTCCTGAGCTCAAGTGATTAGTCTTAGTCTCCCCAGTAGCAGGAATTATAGGCTTGCCCTCATCATGTCTGGCTACTCAGTCACTTCCACAGTGCTGCTAACAACCTCCTTACACACACACGCACACACACACACGCACACACACACATCCCATGAAGATGTAGTGAAAAGCAAAAGAATATCAGCACCATATCAGTTGAGCATCTAAGAAAAAAAACATTTGTGTGTGCAAGCATGGTTGGTCGAAGCATCAGAGCATCACTTTACTTATGTAACCCTGAATTACCATGGCAATGAGAGATGCTCCAGTAGATGCTATCCCTGAAATCCCAGCTCCAAAACATCACTAACTGGTGGACTTTGTAATAGCATCTTACTTGAGCAGCCCTCATCTCCATGGAGACTAAAGTTGCACTTACAAGATCTTCCGTTAGCATGTAGGAAAAAGGAAGGATGTGGTTTTTTTCTCTGTGTTTCTGTAGGGATTAAGATATTGCCCTGCTTTTTTTTTTTTAAAGATGTTCTTTCAATTCTTGCTTATCTCTACTGGGACCAGTTGGATCCAGAGACATTCGAATCTCTACTGTAGGGCATATTTGATAAAGTTAACTGGTGTAGTAGAAAATGCCTTGACTTTGGAATCAAAGGATCTAGCTTCAGATCTTGGCTCTGCTAATTAGTATCTATATGGTCTTAAGTGAGTCAATGTCTTGACTCGATTTCGTCATCTGGAAAATGGAGGGTTTGGAGTGGATAATCTCTAAAATCCCTTCTAGCTGTAATATTCTATGATATCTATGAATCCATTAAAGTTGAACTCGAGGATCAAACCTGAGAGGCAACATGGCATAGGGAACAGAGCGCTACACTGTGAATCAAGAGAAGCTGAGTTCAAATCTTGTCTCTGAAATTTATTATCTGTTTGTCCCTGGGCAAGTCATTTAACTCTCTCTGAGCCTCACTTTCTTCATCTGTAAAATGGAAATAATCCCTGCAGTATCCCTTGCAGGGTTGTTGTGAGGCTTAGATGGGCTAATTGTAAGTAGAGTACTTTGCAAGTACCATGTAACTCAGCCATTATTACTCATACCACCGATTATTGTAAAGCATGGGCTGTCAGGCTACCACAGGCTCTCCAGCTGGTGGCCTGAAAGCTAAGAATGTTTTTAACATTTAAAAATAAACTTTTATTGTATTGAAAAATGGAAAAAACCATTCTTAACTTCAGGGCTGACCAAAAAAAGCCAGTAGTTTGCCCTCCTGATGCGTAGGCCCATAGATCATTATCATCTAACCTAGCTTTACTGCCAAGGTCATTCAGTTCTGGGTCCAGTTTGTAAAACAAATAGAGCAATTTTTCATCTGGTTCATAACTTTACACTTACGGCCTAGAAATCCACTCATATGTGCCTAAAAGTAAATACTTCTTTTTAACTCAGTAATTTTGTTTCCCTCAAGTTGCAAGATGAATGCATTAGGGCCAAAAATCTCCTCCTCCAAATTTTCTTGAAACATGTCAGTGCAAGAACATTCTGACAGAAGATGAAGGTCGGAGGTATAAATTGCCACTTGCAGGAACTTCAGTGATTTATTGGCTTTCCCTTTAGTGCCACCAAACCTGACCAAGCCACCACTGAACCCTGTGCCTTTCCCCATCTAGCCCCTCTCTCTCATATCTTTTAAGCCTTAATAGAGATTTCAGAGAAGGAAGAAAAAATGAGGCAAGAAAATAAAGAGAGAGGATAGTAGTAAGGGTGTTCTTCAGTGCATTAGCCTCTATTAAATATGAGGTGGTAAGAGCATAGCCCCCAAAGAGGAACCACAATAATACTTCTCTAATTCCTCTACCTCAGATATTTCCAATCTTCAAGGATCTGTAATGTCATTGATATCAGTACCTCCTTGTCCTGGCGTATAGTATTACCTTTCAATAACTTATTGGATGGTGTCTGATAGGTGCTGTGGCTGAAAAATTCATCCTCTTTTGACCAATCTGTTAATGAACCTTTCTGAACTTATATCTGGGCTAGACTTTAGCTTATGGCCCATACTCAAACCCTTTTCAGTGTAAGGATGATTGTCTCTGTACCCAGAGACCTGAGGCTTAAATTCTTCCTCTGATACTACCTTTGAGGGAGTCATTAGACCTTAGTCTCCTTATCTGTCATGTGACAGAATTGGACAGATGGGCTAGAAGGTCCCTTTCAGCTCCAAAGCTATCCTGTTCGTACAATTGTAACAGTGGCTACTCTGTTACCCTTTGACAGACCCACTGAATCAGCAGTTATTCCTGTTCACAGGCCAATGAAGGGATGGCTCATGACCTCAAAGCACCAAGCCCTTTTTGGTCTTGAGTCCTTCATGTCCTTGGAGTCCTCAGAGGTTTCCAAGAGAGGGTCTACATATTTTTCTTGGGAAAAGCTCTATAGCCCATGACCACTCATTCTTCACAGTCTAGAGTCTTTGCTTTGTATATACTTTGTATATACCAAATAATACTTTGTATTTTTGGTTTGGTAAGCATTGCCAGAGCTTACATTCTATTGACTTTGTGTTCAAGAGCCCAGAGTCATCTCCAATGAAGCACTGGAAGAGTACTTATGCTGAAGAACCTCAGATACCAGGGAGAATGTTTCCGTTGGTTGCCAGGAAAAGCAGCCAGAAAGAGTTGGTGATTTTTTTTTCTTTGAGGCCTACCTTTTCCAGAAAGTTCTAGATTAATCCATACTGAAATAATTTTGTAGAATTACAAGCAGACAGGATGATCACCAGTCCTCTTCTAAGTGCTGCAGTGATCTGTACGTATTGAAATCATTTCTATTGATGTTATGCCTTGTCTTCCTTTTTCATTCTAGAAAATCCTTTAGAATAAGATCTACTTCTTACTTTGTACCCGCTATTAAATAGAATGTCATATACCTTGGGGAAACTCAATAAATAAATACTTGATGGGCTCCCTCTCCTTTTGTTCATTTCATTTAATACCCCTCCATCAATCCTCAAGCTTCATTCTCCTTCTAATTTTGCTATTAGTTCTTCCTCACTTGTCTCCTATATCTATTATTGATTGAATACCTGACAAGGAATCTAGCCATGCAGGGGGAAAGGATGGTGGTTGACTACAGCATGTGTGGAGCCCACTTTCAAGGTTCATTGCTATCTACATAGATAATATGAATGCATTGTACTCTTTTGAAATTATTCAGTCCAGCAGACATGGATTTTGACCCAGGGCTTAAATTCTTCCTCTGATACTACCTGTATAACTTTGAGGCAGTTGTTAGATCTTAGTCTCCTTATCTGTCATATGATAGAATTGGACAGATGGCCTAGAAGGTCCCTTCCAGCTCCAAAGCTGTCCTATTTTTACAATTGTAACAGTGGCTATCCTATTAGTATTTGTGTCAAATTGACCCAGTCAACATGCAGGTTTATTCAATATATCATTAATTCATGTACATTTTTCTGCATCTTTGGTTCCAGAAACTTTTGAGGTTTTATAAGACCAGAGAAATATCTGATTTTAAAGAAGATTTTAAAAATCTGATACACATTATTGCATCCATGAAAATCTTGGCCCATTTTAAATAAAAGGCCCCACTTGACATTCTCCTCTTCTTTCCCCCCCCCCTCCCCAATTCAGGGCATAGAACTTTGTATGTTGGAGTCCGGATGCCTTTGGGACGGCAGAGCCATCGGCATCATAGAACTCATGGCCAGAAGCACCGGAGACGAGGCCGGGGAAAGGTTCTCAGTCAGGGAGAAGAAGGGCAAGGATCTCTTGCCCACGGTAAGTATATTCAAGGTGGATTCAGTAGATGCTATCCCTACAAGTTTAAGTTTAGGTAAAATTAAAACAATGAATATTTGATTTCTCTTACTAGTTTGGCTAGGTAGGCATAATTTTGTAGTCCTTTTGTGGGTAGTTTTTCAGAGCTTACTTCCAAGAATGAGGCATGTTAACTAAAAAACAGCAATGAACTCTCCCTCCCCCCTAGATGTTCTCCTCCTAAAAATTTGATAATTCAGGTTCAAAACCTTATTACCATAATAGGTAGTAATTGATTTTTGGCAGGGGGAGAGGATAGGGGTATTGAATTAAATTGACCAATCCCAATCAGTCTGGTAGTTGTCAAATTTTTATTTCCTTTGTGCTGTCTAGACATGGACTTGGCAAATGAAATTTCATATTTATGAAACTGTCCCAGTACATTTTTTTTTCTGGCAAAAAAAGCAACCCCTTTGATCTGTGTACTCAGTATTGTCTTTGATATATCTCTAAAACTCCAGATGCTGTTGGGATGTGCTGAGGAAAGTAGATGCTGTTTTCATTCTACGTGGAGGTTCTGACCAGATGTTTCTTTGCTAATTCCTTAGACACACCTTCCCAGCGTGTTCAATTCATTCTTGGCACTGAGGAGGATGAAGAACATGTGCCTCATGAGCTGTTCACAGAACTGGATGAGATCTGTTTGAAGGAAGGAGAGGATGCTGAGTGGAAGGAGACAGCCAGGTAAAGTCCTTAAAATAACCATGATGAAGATGGGGATATATATTTTATCTTCATCCTGACTTCTTATGTTGTTTTGTAGGAACAAATATATCTGATGCAATTTCCTGACATTTCAGAGGCCATTCCTCACTTTACTTTTGCAGACCCAGCCAGGGATATGTCAGGTGACTTAGTGTACCTGTTAGTCAGTAAGGTAGATGCTGAGACTTTGAGTTCCTCTAAACATCTGATCCAGAACCTGATGATCACAGTGTTAGAGGTCTTGTCTAGAGCAGGCCTGGGAGCCCAACACACCCAATTAAGTCCCAGACAAGTAATATTTCTTTAGAGGCCATTTTTGTTGTCAGTTTGGGAGCCCAGCACATCCAATTAAGTCCCAAACAAGTAATATTTCTTTAGAGGCCATTTTGGTTTTCCATTCAGTGGAATCTTGGAAGTCCCAAGCCAAACTTAAATTCCTGGGTTGTTCAATTGTTTCAGTCATGTCCAACTCTTCATGACCCCATTTGGGGTTTTCTTGGCAAAAATATTAGAGTGGTTTGCTGTTTCCTTTTCCAGCTCATTATACAGACGAGGAAACTGAGGCAAACAAGGTTAAGTGACTTGCCCAGAGTTGCATAACTAGGAAGTGTCTGAGGCCAGATTTGAATTCATGAAGAAAAGCCTGGCAGTTTATCCACAGCACCAAATTCCTGGGAGAGCACAGAAAACTCAATCCCTTTATATTATTAAGCCAGCCCAGTACTAGACTTCCTTGGACAGCTACATGCCCCTATGAGACCTTCTAACCCTCCAAGTTGCCCTCAAATTAACCAGGATACTGGACAATGTTAGGAGTCCATAACACTCTTAAGTGGTAAATGTCAGAAGCCAACATGACATAACTTTTGTGAGCTTCAGAGTAGCTATATTTGCAGCAATTCAGCTGTGGCTATACTTGGTACATTTCTCCTGTGCTACTTCCAATACCCTTTGACTCCAAGATGCATTTTCTGTTGGAAGAACTGAACAAGGTCAGTAGTCTTAGAGTCAAGGGGAAACACCATGACTTTCATTCTTCAGACTATTTCATGTACTTTTTAAAGTCACATGTAACACTTTGAGTTAAAAACAGCACCATGGATTTATGACACTTCTAAAAGTACTCAACGGATGTGAATTAGAACTCTGTGCACAGTGCAGTCATCCAGATCCTTTCTGTATTTTTTACAAATTGTTTGTACAACTTCCCCTTGAAACTTACTCCTCTATTTTTGATGTTTATAAAATAACACTTTTAGGTGGTTGAAGTTTGAGGAAGATGTAGAAGATGGGGGAGAACGTTGGAGCAAGCCTTATGTGGCCACTCTTTCATTACATAGTCTGTTTGAGCTGAGGAGCTGCCTCATTAATGGAACAGTCCTCCTGGACATGAGAGCAAACAGCATCGAAGAAATTTCAGGTAGGGGGATCCCAGAGCAAAGTAGGACTAGAATCTAGTCTTGGCTTCCTATCCATTGACTTTCTATTAGCCTGTATGACTGCCTTGCAGATTTTTAATAAGCTTACCCATTTACTGCTTCTGGCCCTGGCCCACCATGGGGTTGGAATTTGAGGATGGGTAGAGTGTTTGAGTGGCAGAGGAAAAAGCCAGGGAGGGCTAGAGCCACATTACCGCCTTAGACACATTCAGTGATGAAAACACCTGATACCTGTTGGTAATTGGCTAAGTTGAGTGTGCAAAATATACATGGTTAAGTAAAATGAATTCTGACATTGGCTATGTCCATCAGTTCTGTATAAGGAGTGGTAGCATGCTTCATCATGGTTCCTCTGGAATCATGATATCTTCTTTTTCTGTGGTCTTCTTAAGGTAAGGAAATTCTTCAGGTTTTTGACAGTAAATTGGCCATTTATTGTACGTTAAGAATTAACACTCTATTAGGTAGGCTATTTATTTCCATAAAGGAATTTACCAACCAAAGTATCAGGGTCAGTCACTGCACCTAGAGTACATTGTACATTCCTTACCAATATCCTTATACAGCCATATCAATAGGGAATAGAAAATGCTTAAGGAATTTCCAAACCTCCCTTTTTGCTAACTCAATATGATGACTTATCAATCAAAAAAGCTAATGGGATCTTGCGCTAAATAAGAGGGGCACAGATTCCAGGAATAGATAGATAATCATCCCACTGTATTCTGCCCTGATCAGAACTCTTGTAGAGTTTTGTGATCAGTGCTAGGCACCACGGTTTATGAAGGACAGCTATAAGCTGACAAGAATCTGGAGGAGGGTAACCTGGGATGTGAAGGGCCTTGAGACTATAGACCAGGCGGTGAGGAACCTGCAGCCTTCAGACCACATGTGGCCTTCTAGGTCCTTAAGTGTGGCTTTTTGACTGAATCCAGATTTTGCAGAACAAATCTTTATTCCGTAAAATTTGGATTCAGTCAAAAGGCCTAGGACCTAGAAGGCCACATGTGGCCTGAAGGCCACAGGTTGTTGACCCCTGGCCTTGAGTCTGTGGAATGTGGGGCTATTTAGCTTGAAGAGAAGACTCAGGGGAAGCATGAAAGCTATGTTCAAGTATCTGAAGGGCTATCGTATGGAGGAGCTGTGACTATACTGGCAGGACTGGGAGCAGTAGAGCTAAGTTATAAAGAAGCCAGTTTAGCCAGGAATGTCATGAAAGCTCCTTAGTTAGTTCAACTTTCCACAAGTGGAACTGGGCTGCCTTGAGAGGTAGTGAGTAGTTATGACCTCCTTGTAGGTCTTCAAGCAGAGACTAGATGACCACTTGTTTGGTACGTCATAAAAGGGATTTCTTTTGTTTATGAGTTGGCCTAGATGGCTGCTAAGGTCTCTTCTAACTCTCACATTCTGTGTTTCAGTGACTGAGAGTCCGCGAGTCTCGGAAAGTTAGAGCCGAAAGGAATCTGCTTCAACTTGCTTATTTTGTAGTTAAGGAAACTGAGCTTCCAGGATGTGAGGTGCTCTGCTCAGGTTCACAAGGCTCTTTAGTGGCAGAGTTGGGAGCTAGAACCACAGTCTCACAGACTGCAGTCTGGTTTTCATGCTACATCGTCATACCATGCTACATTAACTCATTTTATCAGAGCTGTTAATAATTAGTTGTGTTTTCCCTCCTCAGCCTATCTCTGTTCACTCCTTCATAGAAATAAACGATCAGTTAGCTATTTGACCCATTTTTCTGGATTCCATACTCTTTTCTAGCTAAACTCACCCTTTCTTAAAACCTCCCTCCCTCTTCTGCTAAAATGGAATCCCAAGTTCATCAGGAGCCACCACCATCAGAGACTGGTTTGGAATTTGATAGTATATTTTTCCTTATTGCTATCTATCTCAACAAAATGAAAAGCTTGTGCAGGAGAAGGAGGCTGGTTTACCCTATTTATATAATAGCTACTCCTACTATCTAATGGCTTGATACCATAGCTCCATTTCCAGTAACCTCCCCTGGAACTCCCTCTTGTGTGCTTTGAAGGGGTTGACTCTGAGCTCTATTGGACAGGTAGATATTGCTTTTCAGACCTGATCCTGGACCAGCAGGAATTGTCCAGTGACCTGAATGAGACCATGCGAGTGAAAGTGCGGGAAGCTCTTCTAAAGAAGCATCATCATCAGAATGAGAAGAAGAGAAATAATCTCATTCCCATTGTGCGCTCCTTTGCTGAGGTTGGCAAAAAGCAATCAGACCCAAATTCTTTGGACAAAAATGGTAAGATTTGGAGGGTTGAACCTGTTTGTCCTACATTCATATCAATGAGACATCAGGGAATCTGTTGTTGGATGGTAAACTCCTAGGAGTCAGGAACCATAAATTTGTCATAATGTGGATGGTATGTAGTAAACTGTTATGCACAATAGAATGATTACTTTTCAATGACTGATGAATGAATGACTAGAAACAGAACTTTTTCACTTATTCTCCCCAAAGATTGTTTTGAGTCTAGGCTGGTACTGGCTTAGCTGGGAGGTAGCCTTAGACCTCTGAGTTTGGTTGGGTTGCTGTACGTACTCTGGGGCATTAAGATGAGAGTATGCTCACAACTGATCTTGCCTGCTAAGGTTAGCTTCCAAATTAGGAATAAGGATAAATTGCCCTAGCACAGTTCCTGGCGCATAGTAGGCACTTGTAATACATACTGATTGATTGGCTCTCTGCAGTTTGGGAGCAGGGACGGAAATTTGTTTTCATTCTTGATTTCTCCACATCTGATTCCCTTCCTTTTCCTCCACCCCACTCCCTAAACCATGAAGCACTTGGGTAATTCCCTCCTCACCTCCTGCTATTTATTAATAGTACTTTAAGGATGTCAAAATGCTTTACTTAAGTTACTTCACTGAATCCTCACAACAACCCTGTGCTAAGTGAAAGGGAGGCCAAAAAAGGGCAAAAAGGCTGGGGGGGGAAGGTACTGTTATAATCCCCATTTTACAGATAAAGATCTTGATGCTAAGAGAGGTTAAATAACTTGTCTGTGTTCACATAGCTAGTAAATACCTAAGCCAGACTTTGTAAGTATAGCCTATGTCCTGATGCTGTTTCAGACACATTGGGGTGAGAGGTTGTGGGGAGCCTTTATTTTACATGAAGGCAAAGGAAGGGGCTAGAAGTATCTCTGCCAGGGTGAGAGGTTGACAACGGAGAGTCCCAATTAGCCTGAAACTGGGAGGAGAACAAAAAGCCAGGCTTGTGGGTGTCCAGATATCACAGACCCTAAGAACCATTTGCTAGTGCAATCTTGGCAGGAAATCAGCATATTCTCCTGATGGGGATTGAGTGGGCAAGGGTGGTAAAGGGAAGAGTCAGAGAATTCTTTTTTTTTTTTCCTCCCACAGGTCAAACAGTGTCTCCTCAGTCTGTTCCTACTACAAATCTTGAAATAAAAAATGGAGTAAATTATGAACATAGTCCTGTTGATTTAAGTAAGGTGAGTGAAACCTCCCCCCCTCCATGAAATTAGAATAATATTGGTCTATTGGTCCAAGAGGCATTATCTCTAGGGATTTCTAGTTTTCTGGAATCGAGCAATATTTTCACTGTGGGGTATATCTCTACAAAACCTGCTTTTTTAAGAAAAGGAGGCCCAAGTTTCTCCCCATGACTCTGAGTTGTAGTCAAATTACCAAATTTGTACTTAATTGTACAAATTGGTACAATCCACAGGTTTATAAGGAATTAGTCTGAGCTTCAAATATATTTGTGATTAGGAAACATTCTGATTTAGTTCAAGCCTTACTGCTTATATTTCATCAGTGCATGCCTGGAAAATATGGGGACAGGAAAAAGAAAATTGGGCAGGTTCATAAAAATGTGAGAGGCAGGGAGTAGTAACAGTTTACATTTGTGAAGTGCTTCAAAAGACTTGTAAAGTACTTGCCCCTGCTTTCCTCACTTATACACCAGAGCCATGTGTATAAATAGTATAAGGGTTTTTACACTGTCGGGGCCATCATGGCATAGTGAACAGTGCTAGATTTCTCTGGATGGCTTGGGTTCAAATCCTGCCACTTCTTAGCTATGTAGTAATGGGTGAGTCACTTAAATTCTCTGAGCCTCAGTTTCATCATCTGTACAATTAGAGGAGTGGACTAGATGATCTTTAAGGTCCCTTCTAACTCTAAATCTGTGAGTCTATGATCTCATTGTAAAAATAAGGAAAATGAGGCTCAGAGACTTCATTGACTTGCCCACAGAGTGCCCCAGGGTCTCTTGACTTCCCGTCTTGCTCTCTTTCTGCTACAACCTGCTGTCTCTGGTAAATTTTAAAAAATATCTCCATGAAGTTGAGCTAATTACTTGGAATTATAGACTTACAAATTACTACACTCACTTTTCGACTTTGTTGGAAAGAGAATTTTTTTTTTTACTGTTCATTCAGTATTTGTTGATCAGTTACCATGTACAAGTCACAGTAACAGGCACCTTGTAGGGCACAGAGTTATAAAAAACAAGATTCTTAGCCTCAAGGAACTTAGAATCTAGTAGAAGGGCAAAGACAAAAACTACAACATACTAATCAAATGGAAACATAATTCTCTCTGCCATCATTAAACCAGGAGCATTCTTTTAAGCAATTTTTTCCTCTTAAGCAAAAGTACAATTAATGAATTGATAATTATTCTTCCATCTTAAGGAGTGTTTCCTTTCTATGACATATTGGCAAAAGTGCACTGAGCACCATCTGGAATAGGCCCTTTCCACATCTTCCTCTCTTAAGACGCTTGTCTTCAAGGCCCAGCTCAGATGTCATTTCCTCCATGAAGCCTTCCTGGTGGTTCCCATGCCCAGCTAGAAGTGATTCCTCCCATCTCAGCCTCCTTGTGCCACTCTGTTAGCTCTCCCACTATGTAATGGCTCATATTCCAGCTCAAATTACAGGCATTTTTGTATGTGACTCTTCCCACTGGAAGAGTGTAAGCTCTTGGAGGGCAGGGATTTATCCTTTTATGTTTATCCTTTTTGTTATCCCTAGTGCCTTGCACATATTTACTTCAAGGATCTATGATTTCATTGGTGTGGGTATCCCAGCCACTCATCCAAATTAAAACCCTTCTGTACTATAATAGACAGAATTTGTAAGCTGTTGTGGCTGGGAAAAGATTTATTAACTTGTTGCCAAATTTCTGGTGACAAGCCTCTCTGAACTCAGTGAGGTGGTTTCTCAGGCAAAAGAAACAGAGTCCACTATTACTCTTGCACCCTGAGTCTTTCAGTCTTGGTAAGACCTGCCTGAACTGGTGCTTTGAGGAACCCTAGTAACCTTAGTGCCAAAGTGAGATGCCAGCATAGGTAGTTGGCATTGCTCTTATTATTTGTATTGGCCACTTAAGAAATGTGGTTAATTTGGAGTATGAGAGTGGAAATGGAAAAGAGTAAGTCAGAAAGCTCACAGAGCTAGAAGGGACCTCAGAGGCTATCTAATTCAACCCCTTCATTCTACAGATAAGGAAACTGAGGCCCAGAGAGGCTAAGTTTTCCTAAAAGGAAAGCTCTCCTACTTTAAGGATCGATTATCTTGTTGATAAGAATATTCTCTACTCACTCCCAACCCCCAACAAAACAGATTAAGATGCCTCAATTGCTTTGTAGATGGTCTTGGATAAGTTGTTATGGGTGACTATTTCATCACCCTGTGGCAAATCTAGCCATGAGCCTCTTCAAATCAAGGTCACACAGGTAATGATAAGCTTGAGGGGTGGGATTTGATTCTAGATCCTTTAACCCTACTTTGATCACGATGCTGTACTGACAGGATTGAGGGAAGAGAATTTCTAACACGGCAATTTGACACCCATATTTGCGCAGGACTCCTGATTCATTGGAATTGTTCTGATAGCCTTTCACCATTGAGTGCTCCGACAAAGCCTTCACTTGGTTAATTCTCCTAAAACTGCCTGGTGGTAAAATGTTCTTCTTGGGACCCACTTCATTTGGCATCACTTTAGAGCAGGGCTGCTTTATTTCTTTTGTATCCTGGACATCTTTGGCTGGCTGGGGAAGCTCCCGGACCCCTTCTCAGAATCATGTTTTGATATACACAAAATAAAATATCTGATTGCAAAGAAAAACAATTATTTTGAAATACAGTTATCCAAGTACTAAAAATTCCAAGTTCATGAACCTCAGGTCCAATAGCCTGCCTTTTTCTTTTTTCAAACATCTCTTTGCAAAGCTAGCTCTTCAGAGACCCTGATAAATTCAGCCCAGGACCCTGAGCCCAAAAGCCTTGGGAATACCAGTCCCCTCCAAACCTCCAGTCACCAGAGTCAAAATTGAGGGGAGTAATTATTATGGAGAAGGGATCCATCTGCCTCCCCTCACCCCAGCAGCACCTGCTGACTACAGACCAACAGGCAGATGGGCACAGGAGCCCTGGGAGTAGCAGCAACCCCCCTTCCACCTTCCACACTATTGATTATGCTTCTAGCCCAGTCCTCATGGCCATCATCCAGGGAAAAAACTTCTGTGGAGAAGGGGCCAGCCATCCTCACCAAATGCCAACCAAATGCTATACTGAGGGCAGGCAAGCCAGCCTAGCTGAAGCAGCAGGACACTGAAAGGGAGAGACAGGAGGCAACTTGTGCCAGACAAGTCAAACGAGCACCACCACCTTGGCCACCATCTCCCCTCAAACTCTGACGGAGATAGTCCAGGATCCTGAACCCAAGAGCCTTGGAAACAGCAATACTTCCAGCCCAGTGCCCATAGCCATTGCCCTGGGAAGCAACTCTTCCCTGGAGAGAAGCTCATCTACTCACCCAGGAAAGAAAGTTCTTGCCACCAGAATCCTTAGCACTGTCAAGTGGTTCAACATCAGAGACTGACAGGATTTGTATCAGTGGAGATGATGTTAAAGAAGAGGCATGGCCATATGCTTTGCCACTGTTCCCTAAAGACTGTGGGGTTTTCCCACCTGACTTTCAGCTGCAGACTCACATGTGGGTTGCCTCCATTGTTAGAATGTGAGCTCCTTCAGATTAGGAACTCTTTGAATTTTCTGCTTGTATTCCTAGCACTTAGCACTGTGCTTTCTGTATAGTAGGTACTTAATACATTCATTCATTCATTCATTCATTCATTCATTCATTCATTCATTCATTCATTCATCTCTAGGTCCTGTGCCTGCATTTTAGATAGCTGCCACCAGTAGAACAGTGATGCCTTGAGTTGTGGCCAAGAGGAGAAACCTGGTTGGGTTTTGAAGACAGTGTGATAAGAAAGAGTACTGGCCTTGGAGTTAGGGGAGACAAGGGTTCAAATCCTACCTCTTATACTTATTAATTGTGCAACCACAAACAAGTCACTTCTCTGAAGGCTGTTTCCTCATTTATAAGATGAGGTAGTAATAGTTTGTGATACTTACCTCCCAGATAGAAGAACATGAAGAAGTAGCACTCCCTTCACTGACTTCCAAGTCAAGCCTAGTATTACAGAAATTTTGTGTGGGGCCACCCTGCAGCCTGCAACTTGCCGTTTCTTAGATTCCTAAGAAGAGTTTCGTCACACTTGTTAGGATGCTGACCCAGGGCCCTATTGGCCAGTGTTTCAGGGCTCTCACCAGATGTCCACAGTTGCCATGGCAGTTTCAGGGCACTTAGTGTCCTCCCCATACCTCATTCTGGCTGGTATTTTTTTACTTGAAGTTACGGTAAAGCCTCTCCCCCCAACATGGATGATGGATTTGACTTTTTTTTTTTAATATAAATTTATTTTTAGTGTTCAACATTTACTTCCACAAGATTTTGAGTTCCAAATTTTCACCCCATCTCACTCCTTTCCCCACCCCTTCCCCTAGTCTGCCTTCTCTTCTATCTCTCCCCCACCTTCTCTTATCCCCTTCCCCTTCTATTTTCCTGTAGGGCAGGATAGACTTCTGTACCCATTTCCTGTATTTCTTATTTCCCAGTTGCATATAAAAACATTTTTTTTAAACATGTGTTTTTAAAACTTTGGGTTCCAAATTTTCTCCCTCACTCCCTCCCCACCCACCCTCACTGAAAAGGCAAGCAACTCAATATAGGTTATACATGTGCAGTTATGCAAAACACTTCCATAGTAGACATGTTGTGAAAAACTAACTCTATTTCCCTTAATCCTATCCTGCCCTCCCATTTATTCTATTCCTTCTTTTGACCCTGTCCCTCCTCAGAAGTATTTGCTTCTGATTACCCCCTTTCCCAATCTGCCCTCCTCTCTATCATCCCCCTGTTCTCTTGTCCACTTCCCCCCCATTTTCCTATAGGGAAAGATAGATTTCCATACCCAACTGAATGTGTATGTTATTCCCTCCTTAAGCCAAATCCTATGAGAATAAGATTCACTCATTCCCTCTCACCTTCCCCCGTTTCCCCTCCTCTGTAAGAGCCTTTTCTTTTTTGTTTTTTTTTTGTGAGGTAATTTACCGCATACTACCTCTCCCTTTCTTCT